ACTTACTCGTAGTTGATATCCTGGGCAGGAGAAAAAAACCATTCAATATCTCGTTATTAATTTCTACACTGATTTTTTATTCACAGAATATTTTCTCTTTCACTTTGTCACTTCAGAATCGCTGTTTCATCACTTCACGAAATATAATCGAGTATTTATAATTCATACGCTGATAATCATACTTAAAACATATGAAATATTTACATACTCACACTAAAGTTTCAAGAGAAAATAGCTAATCCCAATGACGACGTGATGTCCAACGAAGATCCGCCTCACTGATAAATATCCTAATCACCGCCTATTCAGCGAAAGAATGAGCTTCATAATCTAGGTTACTACATTGATATGAAAAATATCCACGTGTCAGTCGCGCAAGGCCTAATACGAGATACGAAAGAAAAAGATTAGCTAATCGTTTTTTCAATTGATATTACCGTTGAAAGTTTGTCAATTTTTTTTTTTTTTTAGAAATTCACCTTTAGAAGTACATCTCTGTCCGTTTCTGAAACTGAACTGGAAATTGGAAACTAACAGAGAATGCAGACTGTATGGAATGTAGACAAAAATAAAATAGAAGTAGGGAAAAAGCAGGTAGAAATTCTTTTCTCAATGCAGTGTATTCTAGGTTTTAGTATATTCTGTTCTATAGTATTTTCTATTTTTGTTATATGATGTTATTTTCTTTCTGTTATATGATGTTCAAATGTTTTTTGTTCTGCCCAAAAACTATCTTTTATCGAATTAAGAAAACAAACAATTTCAAATTATAAATAATTATTTTCTTTTTTTAAAACTTGTCCTTGATTAATGATCTAAACTAATCGTTATACTGAGATTTTTACTTAAGATTTAAAACTGGTATATTTTTTCAATAAAGAATAACAAACAATAAAGTATCCCATAGTTTTACCGATTTTCTTTACGGAGAAGAAACTAATACATCAATTGTCTTTTTTGATTGATTTTAAGACACATTTTTAGGTATTTTTTGAAAATTCCTTGCTTCGATCCTGAATTTGTTTTGTTTTTATTCAGACAAAAGATGGAAGCAAATTTATTATACGATGCCTAGAATTTGGATTTATTTTGTGCAGAAAGCTAACATTGTAACTGATCTTTATACATAAAAATGTGACTAACATATTTCTTATTGATACTATTATAACGACAAATTATAGTTTCTCTAATCTGAAATTTTTATTAGATTTTAAGAGTTTGTAGCCTTGCAATAATACTTCTGTGATATCCTGTATACTACGATATGACTTTGGAGCATCGTGGCATCGTAATGACACATTTTACCTTCTAAGAATGCATGCATGCACTTCTTCGAGTGCGGATCTCCTGGAAGTGCCTCGCCTTCATTTCTTCCTGCTTCGACAGCCACTCTCGCTGCTGAGTTGCATTATGTTGCGCGCATTATGCACATCGTCCTCGTCGTGCAATTTCGAAGAGGTCGGATGCATACACACTCGAATACGAATACTAACGGAATCTTGCTTTTCAATGACGCTCTTATACAGGAAGTCTTATCGCTTATATTGAATTTCAAAAATGTGCTCGTCTTTGTGAACCATCTTTTCGATATTAATATCGAACTTTAATATTAATTTCATGCTAATTACCTCAACTCAGAAGTCAACATTTTGCAATTGAAATTATCTGATAATGAATGATAACGTTTTAATTTTTAATTATCATTTTCATTGTTTAGAAGTGTTTTATCTTTAATATAAAATAATATGTAAATAGACGTTGGTTGCAAGGTTTGTAAAATAAAAATAAAATTTAAATTTGTAGAGAGAGAGAGAGAGAGAGAGAGATAGAAAGTTAAGAATACATTCTTGATTTACAATTTAAATATCCTACGTATTTATTCGATGATTATATTGTTATAATGTATTTAGGATGATGATAAAAAAAAAGAACTTTGTTTATGAGGCTAGTTTTAGCAGAAAGAGAGAATTATTAGTTTAAAAGTTAGTTACCACAATTGTTAAAAGCGTTCTATTTTTCTGAAATAAAATTGAGTCACAGTCTTACAATCCGCTAGACTTCAAGGTAGTCTGGTTCAATTAAGTTAATCAAGTCAAGTCACTTTAAAACCGACGATCTATGCTATTTGTAGATATCCGTGACCTCGAAAAAATTTCACGATACTAGATAATGAAGTTTAAATTGTGCGAGCGAGCAAGGATTAATAACGCGATTGCGCATAATTGCGTTTCGGTGTCGCGATATTAAATATGATGCAGTCAGCAAAAGGCGAGTACAGATAAGTCTCTACGTTTACACAACTGCGATAACATGCGCTCTTAAACGCATTTTAACAAGCGATGTCGCAAATGTCGAAGTGCAAACGTGGAATGAATTGCATATGTTGCGTCCATGACGCGTTCTTTGAAGATGAATGACTAGAGGAATGAAAAAAGTATGACTTTGAAATTTATAGTATTATTTGCTCTATTCTAAATATTTTATTACATCTTGATACTGTACAAAAAAGCTATACTATAGCATTACATTGCTATTATTATACGTACAAAAGGAATCAGTAATGATCGAGATGAGCTATCTTTAGGTCAAGATCAATAGCTTGAGAATATACATACATTAGAAAATATCTTTTCGTTTGATATTTTCAGGTTTGACTTTTTGTAAAGCAATAATGCGCAACCTTTCTTTAAAAGTCATTTAGAAAGTTATTCTTAGAAACACGTAGCCTTGCCAGACGCATAATGTTTTGTTTGTATAAAATACAAAACATGATTTTATATCTTTAACGATGAGAGCCGATAGAGCACACACAGTGTCACTTTACTTTAAGTATTGCTCTCATATTTTTATTACATACTTAATAAGTTACACAGCAGTTAGCTTTTATCTGTCCGGTACTTCAATCGACCTTACGATTATGACTAATAATATCGGTCAAGTATCCAAACAGTTTCCGTCATCAGTCAGATTTTATCGTTTTCCATTTCTCGTCTGGAGAATCATATACCTGCGTGTACGTCGATAGCGGTTTTTTTTAGGACGATATGCCAGAGTGCACCGCACTCGCGCGCACTAAGATAAAAGAGACGAGAGAGAGAGAGAGAGAGAGAGAGAAGCGAGGGAGAAAGATAGAAAGAAGTGAAGATACGCGCGGACGTATTTATCGCGCGCGTGCATTGTAAGGTCCGCCGACCGAGCGTGCAGATAAACACGCGCGTTGCGCACGTAACAGTATAAATAACTTGCGCAAGCGTTAATGAATGCTCTTATCTTACCCCGCTCTTCTCTGCCTCTTGAAGAGTCGCGAAATAGATATACCAGCCCAGACGCTGCGTTTTGTTATCTCCGTCGATGCGCGTTGCGTTTATGCGGGATGAGCGAATTTCTTGCTTGCACGAGAAGGCGAAGAGATAAAAGTTACGCATATCCTAGAGCGAGTTCTGTGGAAGACGGGCGCACGAATAACATAAATAAAACGCTGTAGATAAACGCTAGGATGATACGATAACAATAAGTGTATAATGTCAGTTTTTCCGCATAATTATTAGTGGCATAGAACCATGTCTCTTATTTCTACATTTAGACGAAAAGATATAATGATGGCAATTATAAAAGACTATGTAAATTTTATATGTAGAATCGATAGCCACGTACGTACACACATAAAAAAATGGATACATTACTAGACAAGTTTTACACGTAAAATTAACACACACACACACACACACACACACACGCAATTGGTACGATTTTATAGTTAAAATGCAAGTCTAAAATTCTTTATTCAACTGTAATCAATTCTTACATATAAAACTTGTATAATTACTATCACAATGTTTTTCTCTAACTGTAATATGAACTTATAAAATCTGCATAAATTGTGCGTAAATTGATTGAATTTTATGTAAATTACTCTTATAAATTGTATTCTCCGTGTACCTGTGTGAAAGTTCGAGAAACGATATACGTAGAGGGCTGTGAAAATCTATGTCTCGTAAAGTGTAAAAAGAAAACGCGGCGACTGTAACTGGAGAACGCAGAGATCCGACAATTGATTTTGCCTCGAGTAACGGTAACAGCTGACAGAGCTCGTTGCCCCTGGGGAGACGAGGAATCGCAGCCCCCGTATTTCTCTTTTCCCCTCGCGTTACGCCATTTGCGATTTCCGCCGAGCTTTGCGAACGGAGGCCGGAGGGCAGAGATAAATCGATAAAGAACGCGAATGCGGGGGAGCATGAGAGCGACCGTGGAGGAGTTCCTTTATAGCCATATAAATTACGCGCGTATAAATTATGTCTATCGTTCAAGCATCGTTACAGTGCACATTGTATAAAGACGTTCGCGCTTCTGACGTTGGGTCTTCCCTTTTGAAGATCTTAAAATAAAAATATCATCCAGTGGAACGATTAATTAATCGAAATGACTAATTTATATCTGTAGACAAAGGAGAGATGGAGAAAATTTAATTAACCAAGACCGTTTGTAAAACTTATTACAGTAAAAAGTAATTATAAATAGCTGTATATTTTCATTAACTTATATAATTAAGAATTAATTATTATATACACGGCGTAGCTAAGATTACGTGCCGTTAAAGCTATCCAACTTAATATCATTAGAAATTTACACTGATAAAAAAATTAAACTGTAATAAATATCTCAATAATTCTAAGTAAATATTTACTAGTTGTAAACATATATTTATTTGATACGAAATCATTAATTTGATTTAAATAATCATTTTTTATTGAGTAAATATTTATTTATTGTAAGCAGATGTTTACTTAATACTATTCAAAGAGATATGTATTAAGATTTAGTAAATTTTTTTCAGTATATTAAATAAATGAAGTTGCATTTGTAAAATGCATTCGTCTTTTAATTATTAAATCCATTCTTAATCGTCAATGACTTTGTAAACCGCGGGCCAAATTTGTACGCACCGATTCGCATAATAATTACGCATGTAGACTGAATTTTTGTTTGCTTGTTTGTTACAGGGAACGTCGTGAAGTGGAAGCACGTGAGATGGAGAAGGTCAAGATGGAACGGGAAAGGCTTGAGAAACAGAGAGCCGAACAGGCGGTTCATAAGCATTTTGAAGAATCATTTAGGTTGGCACAAAAGGTATGTCATTCTTTACTACCTGTTTCATTTTTACCTGACACATTCCTTCGTATCTTACCTCTGAGACGCATTAGGTTTATTTTGTTTTCGATTTCTTATTTTAATGGTTTTTCTTTCCGATTGATTCAGATGTTAAAGAACCATTTGGACTGTAAATAAGGAGACAACTTTATCAGTTGCTAAGGATGTTAAAAAGAAAAAATAACTTGAGTCATAAGGCACAGATACAATACTCACTAAACTTTTGCTAAATAAAAAGTAGTCGTTTTATTAGAGATAGAAGTGACCTTTTGATAATATAAATATTTGCACAGAAAGCTTTTATCTATAATATCCGGAAGTATTCGGATTCTATAATTTTTGACAGCTAATTATCTAGTTAATTATTGATATCTTATTATTTCCTCTTATTTTCGAGACTGAAAGCAGCATTCTTCGTTCTAATAACGTCGAACAAGTTGATAACGAGGAAGTTTTAGTTTTCTTCGAGGAAGGCGTGTACTTTGCGGTAAAATCGTTATTTCGTAGTCTTATATCTACATAAATGGAGAAATGGGGATTGTTGCAAAGAAATTTGATTTGAACAAAAATTTTCAAAGAAATCGCGAAAATTCGACAAGGAATTATTCATTAATCATACTGTTAATGAGTAAAAAAAATTGTAAGAAAATTAAAAGTATATTTAGTTCTGCTTTCTCCTTGTTTTTCTTTTTTTGAAAGAAAAATTCCTAGATAGAACAAAAATTTAAAAACAAAAGAAGAAAATAGTCCACAAAAGTATCTATTGTATATATTTTTACATAAAATCATTCGAATTAATACTAAATAGCTTATCCTTTTTTTATTTTTGATAAAATTAATCCGCTTGAAATAAATTTGTTTTTGTTTTGTAAAAAGCAATGAAGATATTTAACTACGAAACTGTTAAATTATTTTTGTGCGAAAGAATATATAGTGTAATTTTTCTCATTTTTAAAGTAACTTCCGTTAATGTAATAAGCACGTACATAATATGAATTTTGGAAAAAAATCTATCTCACTTTACAATACAATTTTTTTGCGACTTTACATAAATTACAAATATCGAGATGCTTCTATGCACCATAATACATCATTGAGTCAATAATTGTTGTGAAAAGAGGCTGGTAAGCAAAGAGAGACGGAGAAAACACTTTTTGTTTTGAGAGTTTTTGTCAAGATATAAAAAGGCGTTCGTATACATATTGGGACTGAGTTTTAGACCTGATGTTCATTCTTGTACAGTCTTGTAAAGACTGTACAAAGTACAGTCTGATCTTGTAGTGTAGTCAGTTTGGTGATAACTTTATTCCTAAAAAAAATTATAAAACTTTTTTCATTCATAACTACCGTTTATAAACTCAAAGTTTAATTAGTACGTTTAATTGTTGGTGCGCGGAACTGTGAACTAATATACAAACAATATTAAAACAAATTTGGTGAAAATGACTTTTCATGGACTAATATCGCGATGAATAAAAAATGAAGATATTCCTCGTTCAGATATTTGGGATCGGAACAGTCTTTTCACGATGTGCATTAAAAGGAAATTATTAAATTCAGTGCCAAAATATCTTCCACATGAAGTAAAGTAATTATTCTTAATATAATTTGCTTATGCAGTAAATTTATTTTTACATTCGCCGATTTATATTTACTTATTATACGTGTCGTAGAAAATTAGCAAATTAAAAGGTTGAATTTTATTTAACTTAAATGGCCAGCGCGCGACACACTTCGCTCTAGAATATAGTTTCCTCGAATGCAGTCCACGTATCCGCGATATCAGAATATTTGCATCAGGGTCAGCGGACAGGTTTGCAATGCTTCGGCGCATCGGTGCATTGTCCGATAAGCGCGATTAACGCGTTTCCGAGCACAATAGCGCGGATTGATTTCGCGCGCAGCTCCATCGTCGACCTTGGCATCTCGCCAAGCCAACGTCGGCGAACCGTGACACGCGTTTAGCACATCCGAGATTGGCTAACGATTTCACTGAAAACCGCGTGGCACGAACGCGAGCGTGAAATTTCGACGAGGTACTCGCGCTTTGTTATAGCTTCTCGTTAGCTGTTGCTCGTTGCCGCAATTGTTTATCACCGTCGTGGTGAATTATGTGTATGATGAACTCGATATAGACATTTCAAAAATTTTCCTTTTCCTTGTTTCACTCACGTGGCGATATTCAACAAAGAAGGTCTTAAATAAACTTTTACTTTAACACGAATCCTCCTACATTTATTTCTAAAGAAAAATGCAACGTGACTGAGACTACTATTATATATAAAAATTCGAAATGAACTTTGCGTAGGCACGTACTAAAAAAAAAGAGCATGATAGTAAAAGCGGTAACACAAACGATCCTGCAAATGCGATGTATCGGCAATTTTAAGTTGGAGTGGTACGCAGAATATATACGTGAGTAATTAACGATAAGAGCAGTTGCCTGGAAAACGAAAGGGCATGATTCAATTATACGCGTCTTCAGTTCTTCTTATTAGAAATTTTTTCTTGGACAGGAAGAAAGGTAGAAATATTATAAATAGAATCATAAATTAGATATTTTTATTTATGCATTTGCATTAAATTTAAAACATCGTAAATTTCTTCGGAATTGATTTACCGTTACATCGCATGACAAATTGTCTTCTTTCAGTTCGGAAAGATCAACAGATGAGAAGTGATTCTATTCAATTTTTGTCAACATTCAAAACTATTTACAACAATAGGATTTCTTTACGCTGTAACTATAATAGAAACGATTGATTTTTTTTATTGTGAAAGAAGAATGAATAAAACAATAGAAGGCTAAAATAATAAGATCATTTTAAAGATAATCAGAAACTTATGTTAATTGGAAACTTATATATTCATAAATATTTGTATTTCTTCATGATGACGTCCACAAATATCAAACTATAACATTAAAATAGTATCTGAATATAGAATTAATTATATACCACAAACTGCTGTCTTGGGCTCTTCATCAAGATTATTAACAATTTATCATTAGTTTCTGCATCAGGCGATAGTACGGAAAATTTTTTACACTTGGGAAATGTGACGTTTAAGCTTATTAATTGCTTGCATATATAACGTATATGTATTGTATATACTATACTTTACCACTTGAATGGTTTTCCATTTTGCAAATAACTTGAGAAAGGCCGATGCTATTAACGTGACCGACTGATATTAATTATACGGTTCACTGTGTAATTAAAATGGCGTAATTATACACTCCGGCAATGCGACCCAATTAGATAGTTCTATTTTGCAATTTTTATCTTTCTCTTAATTTTACTGAAGAACCATTATACGAAAAAATTATGCATATTCTTTTGAATAACTTCGAGGTCAGTGGGTAAGCTTGACGGTAAAAATACCGCGATTATTGTTAACAGCGAAGCAATTGATTATGCAGAACGGAAATACGCTTTCATCGATGAATGACAAACTAACGTTGTTTGATCGGGTGAGGAAAGGAGGTCACCGTCGATAGTGATACACAAAGAAGCTACGCGTAAAGTTACGTGCCGATTGTCATCATCGGCGAATCAAAAACTTTCATGCCGCTTGTCCGGGCAAAATGGTTCGTTCCCGTCTCTTCCCTCTTTCCTTTTTCATCGTCTTTTTTTTCTATTCCTGGCACGAATACACGCTCATACATACATACATATATACATACATACATACATACATACAATACATACATAACATACATACATACATACATACATACATACATACATACATACGTACGTACGTACGTACGTACGTACGTGCGTGCGTGCGTGCGTGCGTGCGAACGTTCCGCGAGTGGCATTTGCAATGCAAAACTCGCCGGCACGAAGGTCATTAATTATGCACTCCGCGCGACAGCGGTGCGCAACAATAGAGTCGCCGAGGCGCGCACTCCAGCGTGCACGATCATCGGGCCGGGTAGATTTTCCTTGCTATATATATTTTCACGACGGATGATCCTTTGCGTCGAGTTGCTCGAGGACCCGCTTTTGCAGCGAGGAATTTGTTGAACAATGGCTCTTCACCGGTCTCTTTCTCAGAGACGGATTAAAGGAAACGCTGAATTGTAGGATTGTCGTTTTGTTACTTGTGATTTTTTAAATGTATTCCTTTCTTTCCTTCTAATCCCAAGAATGCATAAACCTTGCCGAGACGGATACAAAGAATTCGATGCGAGCATTCCCACAGAATTGTCAGATGCAAATACACCGTAGCGGATATTTTATAGTAATTGAGGCTGTAAGGCTATTTCACCCACGTAATATTATAATATATTAATTATTTTGCGGGCGTACATATTCAAATGTAATTTCTTAATTATAGGGTAATTTTATATTACAGGGAAATATGAAATAACCATGATATTTTTAGTACCTCGACGGGCCTCAAAATAAATTCGTGTTTTATATAAATTCTCGCGTGAAGTTAAACACTTGGGAATAGAGAATTTTACGTGCATTTTGGTAATATAACTACGATTTTATTATATAGATCTCTGTATATACTCCAAGCTTTTTCGTATTATACATATATTTTTTTAAGTCATGATTTTGATGTAGACACGAACTTTTATTAAAGTAAAAAATTTAGCTACATTGAGGAAAAATTTCTGGTTGCACGGGAAAAACAATTTTGCTGAAGTATCTAAAATTTTAGCTACATACATACATAAGATTTAAAAATAATTTTATTAGAGTCAAAATAATTATGTAGAATGCTCAAAATAATTATTAAAATGTCAATACATTTTATAATATTTTTCTTTATGCTTGAGATTTCTAAGTCATTATTTTGATAATCCAACAAAATTATTTTCAGATCTATATATAGTTAAACTTTTAGATAACTTCAGCAAAATTGTTCTTTCCGAATTGTGGAAATGGACAATTCAGAAAATTCTGATCATTATCTCAACTAGAATTATAATAGACTCAACCAGAAAAATTTTAATTTATTCA